GCAGGACCCTGCACAGAATGTTGGCAGCTCCAACTGCATGACCCTGATGGAGGCAACCGGCCCGTACGGGGATGACCTGCATATCAGCTGCACCATGCCATCCATCGAGATTGGCACTGTCGGAGGTGGCACCAACTTGGCCCCACAGCAGGCCTGCCTCAAGGTGAGCAGCATGGCACCAAGATTGTGGGTACCACCAATAACAGCTCTGCGCACGTGGTTTAGCCCTTGTCAGTTATTGTGCTGTAATTACATTTTAAAAAATTATACTGAAATATTTTCAACATTTACACAATTACAGTCCAGCCCTGTAGTTAGAGTAAGGCGTGCCCAATAACATGAAATCTGCAACTGGCTAACAGGTGAAACCAACGAAAAAGGTGAGAATTAAGGGAACAAATTCAGGGTTTTTTAAGTAATTGAAAGCTCATTTGGAATGAAAACTATAAGACAATCATTAAAAACTGGAGTTGTACACCCATTGATTTTCAATGCACAGGTGTTCAAATCCCAGTCTGGGGTCAACTCGGCCAATAATACCTACAGGGCCAATACAATTTATTACATCTTGTTGCAAGTTAACTTTTGATATACTGCCCCTGCCATATGAATGTGGAATTTGTTCAACTGGATCAGGGTTGTGAAAAGGAGATGCACACCCCACAATCAAGTGGGACACCACTTGGAACTTTCATGAAGAGCAAATTGATTTTGAGCCGTGGTTTAGTTTTTGACGCTGCGTGTCTGTGTGCACACGAAGATGCTGGGCATCCTGGGCGCCAGCAAAGATGATCCAGGCTCCAACGCCTGCACACTGGCACGCGTGGTTTGTGGCACCGTGCTGGCTGGAGAGCTGTCCCTCATGTCGGCACTGGCAGCCGGACACCTTGTCAAGTCCCACATGATCCACAATCGGTATGTGTCACACCTGGTTGGCCACACCCCTTTGCTGGGAGAATGACTTCTTCAAAGAAAGCATTGTTGCGGCTAAATAGCTCGGGTGTTGCCGAACAATCATTTACTAATAATACAGACTGCTCCTATGTCAGTAACAAGATTAATTAAATTTGGATTTAAAGCTTTCGTGACTGCAGGGATTCATCTTCTTGGTTCTTTCGGTAAAGTCATGTAGAATTATTTTTATTATTTTATTATTTCCATTCTACGTGACTTTACCGAAAGAAGGAAGAAGAAGATTCATTAAGTGTGCTTGCCCTGGTGCAAATCCCACATTTTAATAGCTCCCACGGCTAAAATTACTGATGGATCCACACTTTAATATCTCGCACAACTAAAATTACTTGTGGATCCAATTCAACTTTGATTTATACTTCTCTAACAAATGTAGAATATATATTTGGGACATATCATAGGGTAAAAAAACAATAGTATCCCAATACTGGAAGAGAGAAGTAGATGTAAATGCATTGTCTTAACAAATAATAAAAACCGGGACTTGTAATGTACAAGCTACCTCAAAGGACAATTCTAGGAAAACCAGGACAGTTGGAAACCCCCCCCCCCACCCCATTTACTTGCCATGGTTTCTTTGGTAATCGTCCATGCAAATGTGTAATGTCTCACCCGCCGTATGATTGTTTTGTGCACAGCTCCAAGATTAACCTACACGAGGTGACTGGGAATTGTACCAACAAGGCCGCCTGATGGAGCAGTGGAGTCATCATAATGGAGACAACACACACACACACACAACCGCAGTGCGGGTGTTAACAAAGCCACGTGCTTATTGGAACGACGTTGCAGCTGGTTATGACGCTGTGGTAGGCGCGAGGCGGTGAAGGCATCCTGCGTTTGCAGGCCAATGATCCGCTCACATGTACCCCTTTCCTCCCCCTCCCTGTCATGTTTCACGTTCCCCAAAATGTTAGGAAATGAGTGTTAGACGTTGCAGTTTGTCTTGTATCAGAGTAATGGTTTCAAGATGAGAGCTATCTTGCCAATTTTTTCCAACGTTTTGTTACGGTCCTGACGTTTAAATGTTTGTTCTTAATCATATCATTCCATGAACAAAGTCGACTTTGGAAGGGAATGTTGTCCAAATATTTTACAATTAAACCCCTGACTTTGTTTTATGAATTTAATTTGCGATTGTTTCCATCAGCTGCTTGAACATGGCTCTGTGATAAGTGTGAGTACCAAATTCATAGCCAGTGGAGAATTTGCTTACATGAAATACAAATAGCATCCAGTGTTTTTTTAAAAATTAAAGTACTGTTGACCCTCAACAGGTAAATATTCAGTACATTTGCTTCATGTTTTAGTTGCTTGTGTAAATAACCAGTTTTGTTTACATTGTTGCTTTTAAGCCCATGGTTTTGTAAACCTGAAGATTGCTTTGTAGCCACATTGCAAGTCCTGTACATCATAAATCGGTGTTCTGAGTTCACTCTTATGAAGATCTGGGCATTGTCTCCACGTCGTCAATGGTTCAGTTGAAGTTTTATGGCACTTTTGGTATGCAGATTAACTTTGCTGTGGTCTTGCATACATCACTTTCAGAACGGTGGCTTTCGGTTGTAAAGACTTTCTTGTGCATTTGCTTTGTGCATTGCTTCGGATGCTGTGCTGCAGTGGGATGTAAAACGGTACATCATTAAAAAGAGGCACAACCCAATCTTTAAACGCTGGTTTTTGTTTTTACGGAACTGTATTCTGCATTTAATAAACGAGGGTTTACTTTCCTAATTATTGGGACACTGCTTTAAATATCGTCGATGCAAAAACTGTCAAGTATGGTCAACATTTTTTGTGCAAAAACTCTCTGCGTCCATAGTTACTGGTGTGATGCACGCCACCCTGCAGTAGATTTGAGCGATTGAACATTTGCAAGCGCCTGTGATATTGACCCCGAAGCTTTGAGTTTTCTGCAACCATAGCAAAATCCCCAATGCTTTCCCAGGCTTGTGGCCATGCAGTTTTTTTTTATGCACGACTGCACAATGCCATTAAGAAATGCTCACACAACAAAAACATTCCATCTATATGCAACGTTTTAGTCCCCGACAACAAAACATCCCCGAAAAGGCTTGGGCAATTTATAAATTGCGTTAGGCCATGATTTATCGTCCCATTTCCGATTCCCTACGGGAAGTTCGCAAGGGGGAGGGGGGGATTGTGTAAATTTCTGCGAGCCAGCATTAGACCGGCATTACTCTTCGACACAAGCTGCGTGGAAGTAGAGTTCTGTGTTGTAGTTGTGTTTGAGCAGGTGTGTGCCTCTTCTGTAGTTGTTGGTGTTTGATCGGTTGGAATTGCTTGTGTAGTTGCACTTTGTGATGTACGATTGTGGTTGGGAGGTTGTTCATGGTTGTAGTTGGAGTGGTTGTTTGAGGTTGGGTTATGATAGACTATTATAACATAAAAACATTGCATTATACTACATCAACTTTGATAACATTCCTAATATAACAATACTTATTACACACTCGTATCACTTGAGCAACAGCACCATGCTTGCCTCTGCCATAGACGCACGGAGCTCACCGGCTGTGCGCTCCTTTCCCACGGAGGTGGACACCCGCTACAAACGATGGTTTCCCACTTCGTCACACACACGGTCGCTTTGCTTGCACTTCTTGAGAAGAGGGGCTGCCGTTGCTGCAGCAGCAGAAGTTGCATGAATGAAAGTTGGCGCCTAAAATGACCATTGCAGCCGATTGGTCCGTGCAGAGGGAGTGATGTCGCAATCCCGAGCCACCGTTGAGTGTTTGTGGTTTCGCTGGGATGATTGCACAGGAACTCGGGAGTTTTTCACGATGCGAATTTGCTGCCTTGTAGGTTCTAAGCAGCGTTTTCTGTACTCAGGCGGGGAAGGCCCCCCGATTGTATGTTTGCATGTAGACTTTTTTCTGCAGGGGAAGGACAACAAAACTAACCACAGCAGTTCTAAAGAAATTACTTTTCAATCAAGATTTAAGTGAAGTTCCAGTGACTTCCTAATATCGGAAATGAGAGTATTTCGGATGGTCACAGAAGGGCATCTGTAAGCGAGCGATGCAGTGACCGTCTTTGATGGTTTAGGCATAAATTTCTGCGAGGATGACCGGAGATGACGTGATGGTTTATGCTCCTTGAGATCAGCAAGGTTAACGACTTGTGGCACGTGCTGCTCGACGAATGAACATTTTGGCCATTTGGCATGGCTGCTTAGCCCAACACGGACTGCATTTCACCTGCTTGAGACCAGGTAACATCCCACCGACACTTGAAGTTCCATTTGGTTTGGTGCATTTAAATTAGTCGTAAATTGTAATAGTTTAATAACCATTCGTCCAACGGTGAATTGACAAAGGGCTCACCAGGCCACATTGTTCGTGGCGGTTGTTTCACCTTCATGGTGGACGTGGGGGGGGGGGGCAAAGAATTATTCAGACATCACTGCCATCGGTATTAGCCACAGCCGGTAATTGAAATTGGGCCGCGAGGTTTAAAAAAAAACCGCATTGTGCCATCTGCTGTGCCACTGCCACCAGCTGAGTTAAATTGGCACAAAACACCTATCCAATAATATTTCAGTAGGTAACGATGTTTACTGTGGTACTCCTAGGATGTTACTTATTCTGCAGTTTCTAATACATACGTGGCAACCCGTAACGGATCACCTGTATTCTTGTCCAGGCAAATTTATTTTTCATGTCTATACGGCGTACAGCCGTTTCAACACAGGGAAAAAAGTGTTTCTCCCTTGTGATGGGACTTTTTAGCATGAACGTTGAGATGTATAAGGGCACGGGGTGATCAATAAGGTCTGAATTGGTCTGTAATAAGGTAGGGCACTGATAAGGCGTTCACATGTGTGCTAATAACTTTTAAAGTTAGGCTGGCTGCCAAGATAGTATAACTTTCAATAAGAAACATCCTTTAGATATAATTCGCGTATGGTCTCCTGGTCGAGAGAAATATAATAACAGCAGATTCTTAATGTGAGAAATACATTTTACCAAAGGAAATGTAAGGCCACGAATGGGATCCGACCACTTTAGTGTTTAATTTTCTGAATACAGCATTGCATAGTTGTATCACTGTTAAGGGCTGAAAAATGCCTCCTGTTATGGTAAACTTTTAAAAGCCTCTTAGCTAAGTAAGCCAGTGTGATGCACTGGTGGATTTTCTGAATGTCACTTGTGGTCCTTGGACAGGAGTTATATTTTCTTTAAACAAATGTGAAGTACATTGGGTCCAAAAACGCACGCTCAGTTAGAATCGCAACAATGTACCTGTACAGTACGAGTACTTAAAAATGTTTAGTCTTGGACTTTAAACATTTCACAATCTGTTAAGTTCAGTAAGATCGTGTGCCAAATGCAAATTAATATGCTTATTTGGAGGTGCAAGCCAACCCGATTAAACGTAACTTTACACAGTATATCCATACCCACCAAATACAAACTAAACTATTGTATCAGGTAAGCCCTTTCTGAGCTACGTAGCTCTTCTTCAGAAGCGACCTGGCCACAATTGGTAGCTTAACGAAGTGGCTTGTGGACATTTATGGCAGTCAAATACGGTTAAACGGACGTGGATTCAAACTGTGGAGGGAAAAACCGGAGAATTCTCGGGAAAAAAAATCAACGCGACCGCAGAAAGAACACGCCAACTTCAAATATACAGCAGGCGTCAAGGTCGGGATTGAACCCACAACCTCCTTCATACCAGGCGAGGAAGTTAACATCTCGCCACCGCATCCAGTGTATACACAGAGGGCCATGCACTGCATTTCCATTTAAGTAAGCAAATCAAGGGCAGACACGTGGGGTGAAATAAATGCTGGCTCTGCAAATAAGCTCATCCACCCAGTTATTACAATGCACCATCGTGAATGCCACGGTGCGGTGCTGTGGTCAAGTACAGGTAGGTGAATCCTTGTAACTAGAATTGGATTAAGGCTATCCCTGGGCTGTATGCCAGGACAATGACTTGGCCATCCTCCATCTCAAGTCATCAGTTTCTGCCTTTACCTGTGCGAGGCCATGCAAGACCACCCCCAATGCTCTTTGTCAAGGTCCGATTGGTTAAGCTTCTCTTTAACTTCCTCTCCAGACATGGTGGGAAAAAAAGGGCTGATACGTTGAAAAGACAATCACAGGCACCTTTAACGAAGGGAACATAATTATACACAAGTCGGTTCTTAATGGGAACATCAATGTTAAGTTATTTCGAGGTTTTTCTCTTAATTCTTGAGCAGTTGGTAACACCATGGCCACGTTCGGCTGTGGAGCCGCTGCAGACATTTCATTTCAGATTTTGGAAGACTTGTTCATCCCTAACCAAGTGCTGCCCTTAGGTCGATCCACTGCTGGATGAGGGCCTCGCCCAGCCATGTGGTTGGGGATTATGTGACCATACTGAACCGCCGGTCATTTCAGGCTGGTTAAGGCGTCTAGAATACAATGTGGACGCACAAAATGTGTCAGCGATGGATAGTGCTGCACTGATCTTCGTTGTCCACGTAGCCCCGCAGCTTGGAGCAAGCCGCTACGCATCGTGGTCGCCCTCTCGAGTGCTAACCAGGCCCGATTCTGCTCAGCTTCTAGGGATCGCATTCGTCAATAAACACTGCCCCAAAAATGAGATGATTTAATGGACGACTTTTTACAGGTAGGAACAATAGTTCCACACTGCTCACCAGGGATTATTTGTCTGTCGTGCATAGCCCCTCCCAAGCATGTACCGCTCCCGGATTGGTTGAAGTGCGTCACGTGACCGCGAGCTCTCTGTCGTGCACGAATGCGCTCTCCAACCAAGTTCCTACCTGCCCACTCCGAAGGAACGTGTTTGGCAATAACCCTTTTTCATCCAGCACGTAAAGTGTCGAGCAGCCTAGATTATTGTCGACGGCGTTTGCGATGCGTGCTCGTGCACCACTGCCAAAGCATGGTCACCAAATAATTTGTTTCATTTTGAGATGAGAATAGGTATCGTCCCGGGTTGGTTTGGTCACAGACAACGTATACCGTAGTGCAAGTGGATTTTATTTCCAGCTCGCGGAGCTAAATCAGTGGACAATAGGCTCGCACGAGTCATTTGGCAAATTCACTTCAAGTTAATCGAACAGCAGAGACGTTATATCTTACATGTTTGGTGTTCGTAGTTATAGTCTGTTATTTTCAAGCCATCGTTTACACATGTACAGTATATTGCTAATGCGGTGAAGTTTTAACAATGGTAAAAAAAAAATGTCCCAATTCTACAGACCTCGTTGACGCAGAAAGTTAATACATTCCACAAACCCATTGCCAAACGTCACGCGGCGTGACCGAATACAGACCGAGACCACACGGTCAAACGTTAGTTTCGCGCTCGGGCAGCAAACCGAATGTGACATCTCCAAACACCTTGTCTTTCCCGAGTGCACATCGTTCGCCTGCGCTCGTCGCAATGCCCGTGCGTTCACCATTGTCGGCGTCTTCCAGAAAGTACATCTTTGGCGTGCTGCCTTTGCTGCCATTGCTTTCCAGAGGGGCAGTGTCCAGATCCTAAAGTTAGCAACAGACAAGTGTTCAACTCCCGGTTGGCGACGTACGGTGCGCGAAAGGAGTGCAACGTGCCACACGTACAACTCGGCGAGCAAACGGTGATACGCGCGCCCACATTTTTTAAACGTGTTCACGTTTCAATTTCAAATAGATTTGTTTGTTTAACCAGGTGAGAACTTGAGTGACCAGGATGAGGCTGGAGCATTAGTTTGCCAGTATTGGGGGTGGGCGAGGGGGAAGCAATGGTTGTTACGTATCATCTCGCACGATTAGCACGGTTGACTACGCACGGTTATAAAGACGTTCGCACCGTGCGTAGTTCAACGTACACACGCAACCCAAATCGCGTAGTTTGCCGTAAAATTTTCAAACGCGCCAAAATTCAGACCCCGACGCCTTTCACACGGTGGGTGGTCTGCTCTTCGCGAATGACGTCACGGGGCCTTCAACGCCCACGTGGATGGCGCATGGTATCATTACGGTTACCGTACCCCGCAGTAACAAAATCGGGGCAGCCGCCGCATTCGAACTGCGAACGTCGACAGGCAGAGGGTGCGCGCCACCGCTCCGCGCGTACGTTGAGCAATCACAACGCGAGGCTATCGCAATGTGATGACGTAGAAAGGATCATATTGTTAAAATGAATTTTCTCGTTATTCAAATCCACATGGCATTTACTTAAAAGGGCAATCCGGTATCCAAACGCACGCACGCCACTCGCACCGTGGGTGACAGCCGTCGGGGACTCACTCTCACCTGGGAGTTGAGAGAGGCCAGGGAATGCTTGGCCTTCTTGAGCTTGTTCTTGGAGGGCCAGGAGAGGTCGCTCCACAGCAAGCCTGGCCCAATGTCCTCTCGCCGAGTTGGGCCTAGCATGAATGCGAACATCATCATCCTCATGGTTAATCCACTGCTGGATGAAGGCCTCCACAAACCGTTGCCAAGTGCTGTTTTCCAAAAGCACTCCACGCTACTCTAATCTGCCTCGGCGTCGTATTTATATATTGTTTTATCCTGGTCGGCTTTTAATAACTGCCCTAGTTATACCTACTCCTCGGCACTTAAATTCGCAGTGAATATCTTCTGGGTTGCTGCTAAACTGGATTAGGTAAGCGACTCGTAGCCACAGGCATGGTGAAGATGTAAACACACAGCTTTAGACTATTTGGCTGCTATAAATTTCCACGTGACAAGCCACTTCGTTGAGCTATCATTTGTGGCCAGGTCGCTTCTGAAAAATAAGCTCATAGCTCGGTGGGCTTTACCCGGTAAAATAAAAAGTGTAGTCCTATTTAAGTCAAGATTTAGTTCTATTTGTTTGCTTCTATTTGTTTGCTTACCTTTCCTATACTTTTCACTCCTGTCATGTTTTTTTTGTATCGTTTGCTGTTGTAACGTTCTGAACCGCCCCGAATAGACATCTGTGAAAAAATAGCTTTATTGCTCATCGGATTCCTCCATTGTTGTGAGCAAAGCATCCGTCTGCTGCAGGCGAGACTCGGCATTTACCTGTGAGGTAGCTGACGGCGACCCCCACCAGCATGGTGACGACCGTGCCCAGCGGCCCAAAGTACAGGTACGACATGGCATAGAAGCTGTCCGCCAGGGCGGGCCTGCACGGCATGACACGGGGCGCACGCACCACCCACACGCAGAGCTGTGGTTTCCATGAGGCCACAACGGTGGGACAATTGACCAGGGGGCACCAAACTTTGCACGTCTCTCTTCCCGTGCTCGCTTGGATTTTTCTACGGCTCCCCCCCCAGGGGAATTTGTCTACTATAAATTTCCACGTGATAAGCCACTTTCGTTGAGCTATTATTTGTGAAAGCCAGTTCGCTTCTGAAAAATAGAGCCACACAGCTCTGTTGGCCTTAACCTGGTAAGATAAAATAAAAAAAAATCGTTTGGTGTAACCGTGGTATTCATGACGACGGCACCAACCTGGCGACATCACAGATCTCCGGCACCGCGGAGAGATTGGCCCCGAAGGTGCGCAGGTCGGGTGCGGTGCTCGCGTTCGCGGATCCGCCACGCAGGTGCCACGTGGCGGCGGCGGCGGCGGCGGCACCGCACGCCGACACGGAGGTGGGCAGGGCGCCCATGTCGGCCAGGCTGGGCGGGTAGATGGAGGCGCCAACGGAAATCCACAGCGACGCCACGAAGCCCGCGGCAAGGCCGACCAGCACCCCCTGGGGGATACATCGAGCCACTCCAAAAAAAAACGACGGGAAACTCGCCACCCCTCTCGCCACCCCTCTGCCGCCCCCGTACCCTACCCGTACCCGGCCAGGTACGAGTAGGGTACGGGTATCGAGTACCTGATTGCGACCTCTGGGATGAAGCCATGTTGCAGGCGCGGGTGGGTTGATTCTAGGAACTTGAATTGTCAGAAGAGACAAGACGTTGGGAAATGAGTGACAAACGGTTACTCACCAGTGACTCACGGCCTACCTGTACCCGGCCGCACCAGGGTCGCAAACGGGTACCCGTACCCGGCCGGGTACGGGTAGCCGGGTATCGGGTATGGTACGGGTATCTGGTAGCGGCCTCTGCTGGAGGGGGGCCCAGTCGCCGACCGTGCCACGCAAACAAGAGCACTGGGTTTGTTCGACTGGCGTGGTGCGTCATCATGGAATGGGTCACACGCAGTCATCCACGGACTTGAAGTGCGTCAAGGAGACGGAGCTTTCTAGATTTGCAGTTTTCGTGACTGCAAGGATCCATACTCTTTGGTTCTTTCGGTAAAGTCACGTAGGTCAAAAAAATAAGAATAAATATTTAAAAAAAATAACCAAATTAAATCACGACATTTCGGAAGCAACACAAGCTTCCGTCATCAGGTGGGACAACCAGAGTAAGAAACAAGTATTTTTTTTTCTTACTGTGGTTGTCCCACCTGATGACGGAAGCTTGTGTTGCTTCCGAAACGTCGTGATTTAATTTATTTATTTCTATATATTTAAAACAAAAACAAAATTCCCTTGCGTGACTTTACCGAAAGAACCAAAGAGACGGAGCTTCTAACCGCAGTCATCACATTTGACAAGCCAGCAGTGTTCTGCACCTGCGGAAAAGCCGACAGAATTTTGGAAGCCACGACGGTGTTTGTGGGACGCGTTTGGCGTAACCGTGCACGTCGTGCACCTGGGAAATGTTGCACTGTCGACATCGCCAGCCGGTCGCTATGCAAAATTTTGTTGTCTTTTCTTGGATTTTCTGTTTGCACTTAGTCACATATTCACTTTAAGATGTTTTTTGTTCATGTTTTTTGTTTGTTGCGGTTGCACCCGATTCAAGAGCCGAATGGCTCACAGGGCTATACCTAATAAATAAACTTGAACTTGATGCGATTAATCCAGGTTCTTGAGTAAAGAGAGGTTATAGTTTCAGCCCGGTCACCAAAGACTGGACACAAAAAAAAATGATCACATTCAAATTTGTTTCTGGACTTAACTTGGCTAAACTCCAGGTCTGAGAAATAAATATTACTTGTCTGCCATGCAATGCTCTAAAATGCTGAGAGGATGGGAAAGTGCTTCCCCCTCTACTGCGTGGAGCAGAGATCGCTCGAAGGGATGTCCGGCAGTAGCTTCGCGATATCCACTTCTGCGGACCATCACCTAACGCGGTGCGACGCACCGCTCTGCGAGAGACCCGATTGGACGCTGTCTCCGCCCCTCCGATTTAGCAAGGCTGGCTCCGTACAGTGTGCGAAATAAGTTCACACACATACACACGCACGTACGTCTCGTCACATGGACAAAAAATGAGCAAAAAAAACACATAAACGAGACGTACGGTGGAATTGGACGGCGGAACGAAGATGCCGAGGCTGAAGGCCCCGAGCAGAGGGCCGCTCACGACGCCCATCACGGTGAAGGAGGCCTGCACGCCACACACAGCCCGTCCCCGTACGTACATTCTGTACGCACGTCGAACTTTTGTCGCACCGTACGTAGCCTTAAGTGCTAATCGGAGATTCGGGGGGGGGGGGGGGAAGGACAAACTAAACACAAAAAGCAGTTTTAAAGAAACGAGTTTTAAATCTACATTTAAAGTGCATAGCTCTAAGTGGCTTGCTCATATCGGAAGGAAGAGCGTTCCGGACGGCCGCAGAAGCGCATCCGAAAGCCCGCGATGTGGTGACCGTCTCTTTGTTCGATGGCTCGTGCCTCTCCCCCCCTCGATTCAAACGAGTTGACAGCCTCGCTTGCGTGGCGGCGGCAGCGTCAAGCGCGCGTGTTGTCAAAAATGGGAATCAACCAAATGGCTTTAAAAGTTTCGTTAAAAAAACTCTTGCATTGGTGTTAGGAATTGTTGTTTTTGCTTTGGTGAGTTGGCACATTCCCACCACCCAGGAATGTCCCCCGTCACTGCCGTCCGATGCCGACAATGTTTCTTGGGCTGCGGTTGCCCTTGCAAAAGAACTCCTCAGCTTAATGGGTTTAAAGGGTAAAAACACATTCCTGCGGACGGAGCTGGTAGGAACGTTGGGTTGCTCAGTCAACGGCCAGGGTCAACGGCCAGGGTCAACGGCCAGGGTCAACGGCCAGGGTCAACGGCCAGGGTCAACGGCCAGGGTCAACGGCCAGGGTCAACGGCCAGGGTCAACGGCGGCGTGGTGTATTCCACAAATATGGCCGATTGTGAAGGCGGGCACAAGCCGGCGTGAGTAGGTTAAACGTTGAGTTTTATAAGGGCACCACGGGGTGACCAGCCCCTCCCCACCCAGCCCCACTCCTCCCCATCCCTCCCCACACAACCCCACCCCTCCCCACCCAGCCCCTCCCTACCCATTTTTGGATGCACGACGGACGGACACAATAATCCCCTGTGGGCTGGTGTAACCAGGAGGTTCCTACCAGTATAAATTCCGAGTCTGACGGACGTTCTGTATGTATGTAGAACCGCTTGTCGCACCGTACTTAGCCAACTCCGAGCTCAAATTCGGAGGTATTTGAGGGTTGCCCAAAACTTGGGAGACACAAACCAGAGCAAAGCGAACTGGATGTCAGCTACCCGTCAGCTTCCATACTGGCTAACAACACAGGACAAACACGCCCGTTGGAAAAGCATTAGAGAATCCCTGCTCATGCACCATTCGTCTTCCTTATTTATGCTAACATTGGGAGGCATCGAGGGGCACTTTTATATTTCGACACAAATGTTGACTCGCAAGCACGACCACCGCTGGAAGTGTGAACGAGACTCCGAGTTTACCTGCAGAACTCCGCCACCCAGCAGGGATGACAACGCCGCCACGATGATGCACAGGGACCCGTACATGAACGCTAAAAAGACAAAGATCCCCCGTATAGCCTTGACAGACCGCTGGGGCAAGTGGTGTTAAGCGTGCACCTATGAAGGCCGGCATGGTACACGAGGAGGTGAGTGGCCAGCACCACGCCCGGCCGCCTTTGTCTCCATAGTGAGGATATTTACACACCGCACTAGGTTCTCATTTGAGGCCGAGTCGACCTAGGGGAGGCCCAGGACCGGTTCAGACATTCATCAGCGATGTTGGCCTTGAGAGGGAATCGAACTTTGGTCACCGGGTTCATAGCGAAGCGCGCTGACCGCTACACTACACACACGCACGGCGCATCACCCACAGCTTCACCCCTACGTCGCTTACCGGCAGACGCACAGATGTTAACGTGCAGCCCTTTGGTCAATCCACTGCTGGATGAGGGCCTCCCGAATTAACATGGCGGGCCGGCGGGGGGGGGGGGGGGTTATTGTACAAGGAGCCCGACCGTACCCCATCTGGGCTCGGGGACAGGGAGGGGGCTTGGGGCGGAGAGGGACCGCGAGTAAAAACTAAAACAATTTTTGTTATTTTACCAGGTAAGGCCCCACTGAGCTATATTTTCAGAAGCAAACTGGCCACAGATGATAGCTCGACGAAGTGGATTGTCATCACGTGGAAATGTATAGTAGCCAAATACTCTAAAAAGGCACGTTTCTGAATGTGGAGGGACAAAAGGGGAAGATACCCGGGAGAAAAACTCCACGCGACCACAGGGAGAGAGATATGCAATCTCCAAATATACAGGTGTCAGGGTCGGGATCCAAACCACGATCTCCTGTGTACCAGGAGAGGCATCTAACATCTCACCACGCTGACATCCACAGTAAGGAGGCTCGCTTGGGGGCTCTGGACGGTGGGCTAAGCCAGGAGCCGTCTCAGCCGCGGGCGGAAATCGAACCGAGGTCGCCAGCTTCGGAGCGCATCAACCAACCCTGCCACCACTCCCCCCCCCCCCCCCCACAACTGGCGGGACGACGTTTCGGGGGGGGGCCGGCACAGCGCGTGGACTCACAGAGGCCCTTGGAAATGAGCGCGAGCTTCCTCTCCGGCAGCACCCTCACGTTGGGCTTCAGCAGGTCCTCGAGCGTCACGGCCGCCAGCGCGTTGATGCTCGTTGACGCCGTGCTGCCCACGGGCGGGGGAAGTGAGGGTGAGGGTGGGGGTGACAGCGATCGCCTCCCCGTTGCTCGCCACGTGGTTCCCCCCCCTCCCCCCCCAGCACTCATTGATTCAAGTCCAGGTCGCTCGGTCGCTCGCCCCCCCCCCCCCCCCGCGGCCAGTTGCCTCCTGAGTACTCTGTCGCTACGAAGGTGGTTCCCGTGACAGTGACGGTGGCGTCTCTTTCACAATGCGGTCAAGCACCACACTGCAGGTCACACTTGCCTACACACCACATTCACCACACTGCAGGTCACATTCACCCACTCACCACACTGCAGGTCACACTCACCCACTCACCACACTCACCACACTCACCACACTGCAGGTCACACTCACCTACACACCACACTCACCACATTGCAGGTCACACTCACCCACTCGCCACACTCACCACACTCACCACACTGCAGGTCACACTCACCTACACACCACACTCACCACATTGCAGGTCACACTCACCCACTCGCCACACTCACCACACTCACCACACTGCAGGTCACACTCACCTACACACCACACTCACCACATTGCAGGTCACACTCACCCACTCGCCACTCTGAATTCCCTCCCATTAACTTCCCAAGTTCTTATTATAACCTTTCTCAATTGAAAAAAAACTAATCGACTCATATCTCTTATACTTTTAATTGCGCCGTCTGTTGCACGCTGCTTGTGGGTCTTTGCGCTGCAGATCGTCACGTTCCTTTAAAAAAGACCTCTCGGCTTAAATTTGGTAAAAAAAACTCTTTGAACGTCGAAAGAAGCGGCCATGGGCCGCGCTCATCACAGGGCCTCATTTCAACCGGGTCTGTCCAGCTCAGCGACTCAGAAAATATTTAAGCGCCCGGCACATTGCATCCAGAATCCCTCCAGTCGTGGCGGCTACGCATCACGTGCCACCTACTCTAGTCTACCAGCGACCGGGCGAATACTCCCTTCACCATGACATCTCCGACAGTGAGAATGAGCGAGTCACCGTGGCCGGGAACGCAGCGTGCGATTGATACCTCAGTGTCCCAGAGTACGCGCAGGACAGGAAGAGCCCCGGAACGCCGGGAATGTTTTCGAAAATATCCAGCACAAAATACGGCATCAGCTGCAGGAATATCAACCAGGTGGCGATGCGATGGATGAGTTGAAAAATAATACCGAACTGCGACATGAAACGCACTAAAAAAATTCAAACGAATGAATAAAATGATACAGCAAAAAAAAAACACGCAAATAAGTGAGCAAGTGAATGGATGAGTGGATGAGCGGGTGAGTAAATGAGCGAGTGGTCGGGTGGATGGATGAATGGATGCGTGAGTGGGTGAGTGAATGAGCAGGTGAGTAAATGAGTGAGTGGTCGGGTGGATGGATGAATGGATGCGTGAGTGGGTGAGTGAGTGGGTGAGTGAGTGGGTGAGTGAGTGGGTGAGTGAGTGAATGAGCGGGTGAGTAAATGAGTGAGTGGTCGGGTGGATGGATGAATGGATGCGTGAGTGGGTGAGTGAGTGGGTGAGTGAGTGGGTGAGTGAATGAGCGGGTGAGTAAATGAGTGAGTGGTCGGGTGGATGGATGAATGGATGCGTGAGTGGGTGAGTGAGTGGGTGAGTGAGTGGGTGAGTGAATGAGCGGGTGAGTAAATGAGTGAGTGGTCGGGTGGATGGATGATTGATGCGCGAGTGGGTGAGTGAATGAGCGGGCGAGTCCACGAGTGAACGGATGAGTGAGCGAGCGAGCGAGCGAGCGAGGTGCTGGTCTGCCTACCTGGTCGGCGGCGGTCACAAGACCGGCCTGCAGCGGGTCACAGTCCTTGTACAAGGCGAACATGACAAGGCCGCACATGCCGGCACTGCATACGATCACCCACAGCCCCACCAGATTCACAAACAGGGCCCTGCAAAAGCCACAGTGGGTAGCAACACGGCAATCGCCCATGGGTTCGGAGCAGCAGTTCTCAGCCTCTCTGGCCGTGCGCCAATAGCATTTCTACCCCAAATGTACCGTGAAAAGTAACAAGTAAACCCGTAAAAACTAAGTTTTTCACTATAAATTCTTTATATGCGTGGCATCGGGGCGGCTAGAGTCCTCTCGTCCTCTGGCTTGAGATGGCTGCCACCTATGGGTCAGATGATTGTCTGGCAGCATTAAACAATTGGTAATTAAATATTTAAAAAAAATTCCCTAAACAATGTAAAATTTTGGAAATTTGTTTTCACGAAAATGCATTGTCACGCACAACGAGTCTGTGTGCAAAATGTCAGCTCGATTGGATCACGGGAAGTGGGTTAAAAAACGACCGAAAGAGTTGCACGGTCCTAAGCAAGCAAGTGAACTTAATAAAGGATTTAAAAAAAAAGCCGTAAACACAAAGGGAAACCTGCTTGCCATCGACTCATCTACATTGTGCAATGGGCGGTAAAAACAAAGAGTTCCGTGCACCACTTGTATGTACGCATGTTGAACTTCTTTCACACCATACGTAGCAACCCGTGCTAAGCAGAGGTGGCCTTGTGCACCAGTGGTCACGGAACGGACCCGGACGAGTCTATGAATTGGCATCTGTGAATTGAGCATCCGTCTTTGGGTTGCAGGAATTGATTTGTAGCGAGATCTGGTACTGGTATTACTGTGTTGAACTTTAGTGCAGTAAAGGGCACAGCTCTGACACTTGACCTGGTCGACTGACTGACACAAAGGCCCCCCGTGTAGCCTCAACAAACTGTTGGGGCAAGTGCTGTTAACGAGCACCTACGAAGGCCGGCACGTCACACGAGAGGGTGGGTGGCCAGCACCACGCCCGACTGCCTTTGTCTCTCCAGCGGCAATGATTTTACATCACCGCACGAGGTACTCATTTGAGGCTGAGTCGACCTAGGGGAGGCCCAGGACCGGTTCAGATAATCATCACCGGTTCAGATAATCATCACTGGGTCGCCAGGTCCGTAGCGCAACGCACTAACCGCTACACACCCACACACACAACCCCGGGTTTGGTCTGCGTGGAAAATGTAGAAACCCAAACGCGGTGGGGAATCGCCGGCCTAGGGCAGCGGTCTTCTTTGCAAGGCCCACGGGCCACTGGCGGCCCCCTGGGTGGTCTTTAGTGTGGCCCACGAAAATACACAAAATGTGAAAACACCCCCTCACCATCATCGTCCTGACACAAACCCCAATGGTTTAAAATGTGTGGCGGCCCTCACACGGATGATGTCTTATCGGTGAAAGTACCCCTGCCCCAACCCCCTCTGAAAATTAGCGAAGAACACCGGCCTAAGGGGCTGGGGGGGTGTTGCGGTGCCGTGGTGCCGCGGGTGCCCAACCTGCGGGCCTGCGTCTCCGAGCGGCAGGCGAGGTAGCGTTGCACCTGCGCCTGGTTGACTCCGTACATGGAGAGCCAGAGAAGGGTCGCTCCCGTCGTGAGCGTCCAGAACGTGTACCTCCGCCGGGGGTCTGGGTCAAAGCTGGCAGCGAGAGAGTGCGTCGTCGAGGTCACCACGGCGGCTTCCATTCGCGACACGTTTGACACAACAAAAACTCAACGACGCTTGCAAATCGGTCCATTCGTGAAATGTTTGAAACTCCGTGAGACTCGATAAACACGCTGCTCCCGATCGTCACCCCCGAGGGTAGCGGAGCCCAGATGCCTCTACTCCATCCCTAATTTTGAGGGTGTATCGCTCTGGGTTTGTTCCACGTCATCTACTTCCCCCCCTCCTCCCTATTTGAAATCGACTTTGTATTCTGGGTTCTAGAATAACAATAAACAAGGGGGCAGCCTCCCCCTACAAACAACGGCCAGCGTGACGCGTCTGATGATGTCACCAAGCCCCGCCCATCACCTCCTGTCCAGCGTCACACGCGGGGTCACAGTTGACACTTAAGTTTTCCCGTAATTATCTGCGTGTTTATTCCATTAGTCAAGTGATCGATCGATAAATCAGTCGAGTCACTTGATACATTACTCAGATACAAGTGGTCGGATAGACCAGCTCCCATAAAAAAGAAAACTACTGCACTAAAAACCCCAGCACCGACCTCGCCCTAGTCCAAAACCCCCAATGTTCTTTGCAAGTACGTCGATATAAAAGCCATTTCAACTACAACTCTGATATTAAGTGCACATTCAAAATGTAACATTTGCTCAGCTTGCTTTTACCATTTTGTTTAGTCCGAACTGATTGAGCCAATTCAGCCAGCTCATCCAGCATAATCAGTACAGACAGCACATTCACTACAGCCAGCACAGACAGCACAGCCATTTATAACTCTTAGTAGGGGGTAGAAAATTTGGTTCCCTACTGCTAACAAATGCTGCGCCTGTTTCTCTGGTCGTTCAAATATTCCCTTAATATTTGTTCATGGAGGAGGCAAAAATGATAATCGCACCAGCTCCGAGCTATTAACGCTGTACCGGCCTCTAAACCACCTGGGGGCCCACCTCAAGCAGTGCCCCCAGGCTCACCCCCCAGGCCCACCTCCAGGCCAGAGGTCGCAAACGGGTTTTGATTCCTTACCCGTACCCGGCCGCACCAGGGTCGCAAACGGGTACCCGATTGCGACCTCTGGGATGAAGCCATGTTGCAGGCGCGGGTGGGTTGATTCTAGGAACTTGAATTGTGAGAAGAGACAAGACGTTGGGAAATGAGTGACAAACAGTTACTCACCAGTGACTCACGGCCTACCCGTAACCGTACCCGGCCGCACCAGGGTCACAAACGGCTACCCGTACCCGGCCAGGTACGGGTAGCCGGGTATCGGGTAGGGTATGAGTATCGGGTACCCGATTGCGACCTCTGCTCCAGGCCCACCCCTTGGCCCACCCCCCAGGTTCCACGAATCCCCCGCGGGTGCTACTACTCACTCTCCAAAGTTGATCCGCGAGCCGTTGTTCACGCGGGAAATGGCCGTCGAGATCCCGCCGACCTCCATCGTGCCCTGGATCAGGACGGCCCAGAACCCGGCCAGCATCACCATCACCTGGAAGGCGTCCGTCCACACCACCGCCTTCATCCCACCCTGGAGGGCGGTGGGGGTAGGGGGGGGGATGGGGTCGGTAGCGGGTTAAAAAGGGGCGGTGCGTTGAAATTCACCGTTTAAAAAAATCACATCCAGCGAGGTATGTGGTGACGTGGACTTAGTCCGCAGTTACCAACGCCGGCGAACGAAAACCCGACGCTCTCTCATCGATAGCGCGGCAAAAAAATGTACAACAGGTGACGCGTCTGGATCTCTCCCCTATTAATAAAGGACCATCGCCCGAAACGTTGTCCATTATATGGATAAACAATAATCTCTCAAAGGCAGTGTTTACCGACACAGTTATCGAGGGTTTGTGTCACCACATCTGCACCCTGCCAATAAATCCCAAACCAGATGACAGCAGCACATTTTCATCACACAAACAACAGCAGCAGCAACCGCCCACAACCGCCAGAAACAGCCTGCACCAAGTCAATGAGGACGGCTGCATCAACTGCCCCTTGCATTGTTTACAGATCACAGGACTTGCAAGACGCGACTGAAAATGTTGGAGAGGTTTGTTTTTCTGTTTTTGTTTTGGAACCTTGGTATCTCGTCAGCAGCAGGGGCGGCTTACGATGGTTGTGTAGAATGTGCAGATTGCTCCACTCGACAGAACGGAGAACCAAATGCTGAGACCCGTCACTGCACAAAGGAAACAAACACCCCCATTGACTCTGGGAAGGGGCCTTCATTCAGCAGTGGATCGATCATGGCTGATGACGCTGATGATGATGGACAAATAAATGTTCACGTCACACCCCAGCGGAATCGCATTTCCAAGTTTAATGTTTTAGCAAAGCTCAAAAGACCAGAGGATGGATCTCATCTGCAAGAGTGACCTGGGGTCACCAATATGGACAGAAGCAAAACGACACAAACAAGGCACGGCAACGGAACAAATAGAAATCGGAGCAAAATAACCGTGGCACGGAAGGCACCGTGCACACAGCAGAGACGCAAATCCACACATGTGAATAAATTAATTTCCTCGAACAAAAATGGTCTCTTTCAAATTTACTTAACAACAACAATAATAAAAAAAAGACATCCACAGTAAAATGAGGCTTCAGAAACAACGATATGGCCCCTGTGGGGTGATTACGTGCGACCCGCCGACCTTGATTGAGGATGAGAGCCGGAGCGTAGATGACCACTCCCGTGTACAGGACCTGCAGCAGTAGCAGCAAAAAAAAAAAACACGTCTGGTCAGCGTGAAAGAGTCGGCCCGAAATAGCCCGCTCGACTGGCTCTCTCCAGACGAGCTCCCTCGAGCAGAAAGGCCCTCCTGCCAGCAGTGGCACGGCCAGGCAATTGCGGGGCTGTGCCCTTACCCCCCTTTTCACCGGACGACCCGACACAAGATGCAGCCGGTGGCCGTCCTCCGGGCTGCTGTGAGCGCTGCCCGAACCCCTCTCGCCATTCCTGTACAGTGGGAGTTGGTTTTGCTCGCAGTTTCAAGAGGGGCTGTGTTTCTTTACCGTGGCGACGATGTACTGGGTCGTTCCGCAGAGCCGCACGACTTTGTTGAAGCGCATTTCCAGGTACTGTGGGGAAAGAATGTCATCGAGCCGTGAAATATAAAAGCAGGTGCCTGTGACCAAAAAAAATAAAAATCACGTAAGCAGCTTAGAGCCTGGATTTTGAGCTTGGATGGGTGAACGCCACGCACAAAGCGGGTCCCCGTCAACGGGTTTCTGGGGATACATCGGCGGCTTCATCATCAGGGATTTCTCACCGAGACTTACAGACTCGACCGCAGAGACCCACAAGCTCGCAGACATCCACAGAGAGACCCACAAGAATTGCACAGCCCACCGATGAACGTGAAATGTCACGATTCTGCTCGATTTTCTCACACACACATTGAAAAACAGTTGGAGGTTTATAGATACACACACGACACAACCACTCACCACGGCCACTCGTACAATGCTACATGTTGTCATCCAAGGTCAGAACATTTAGGGGAATATGTTTTTGCAAAAGTGTGAACGATCAATAATAAAACCAGACCCCGAGTCATGTCGAATGCTTCCGCTTGATTTCCGTTGTGTTGAATTAGGTATTTTATCAAAATTTTACGACAAGATAGTGTTGCTGTACTGCAGTGGAGGGATGGCTCTTGTCCATAATACCTGGCAACCTTGCTTCATTTAACAGGCCACCGACTTGCTGACGAGTTAGAAAAGTCGAAATCGTTTCACGCGACTGTAGAGATTGCCAGCTCAAACAAACTCTGCTGGACGGCATCGGTCCAAATGATTCTAAAGTAATCGACATCAATACGGTAATACCTCGATATGCGAATTTTATGCTATACGAAGTTTCAGCATAACGAACTTTGGATTTATTATCATTACTTTAACGGTAAGAAGAAAGTTAAATAATAAATAAACACGAAATAAATTATTAATGTGTCGGTCTCCTGTATTGCAGAAATAACAAGATTACGTTTATTCACTGTGTTTATTTGATTTATGTCAGTTTTTTTATACTGTACAGTATGAAATCGAATATTATTTTCAACATGAATTGTCGTTGTTAACAATATGAATGGTAAGTTGTGAAGTGTTGGGAGCATGAAATAATAAGTTACGAAGGCTGTGAGAACGCATCCTCATAGTTATAAGTGATTCAATATGTGAAGTTTCAATATATGAGCAAAGCTCCAGGAACGCATCTACTTCGTATATCGAGGTATTGCCGTAGAGTACAAAGTCGCATATCCGACTCGCTGGGTTCCGTGGTGGCTAGGATATGTTAACTCCCTCGCCTGGTATACAGGTGGTCGTGGTTTCGATCCCGACCTTGACGCCTGGAAATGTGGAGTTTGCGTTTTTCTCTCTCTCCCCGTGGTCCTGTGGATTTTTCTCCGATTTTTCCCCTCCACATTTAGAAACACGCGTTCAGAATGTTGCCCGCTATAAGTGTCCACGTGATAAGCCGCTCCGTTGAGCTGCCATTTGTGTCCGCCAGGTCGCTTCGGAGAAAGAGCTACGTAGCTAAGTGGGTCTTACCTGGTGTAAAATAAAAAAAATAAAAAAGTTTAATCGTTTAGCGTTGGAATAGTTGAATCTGTGCACAATGACAGTTACGCCGCGTACAGAGGCAATTGCTCAGGGCGGCATTGCGACGTTGTACTGCACGACAGAACAGTAACTCTACGTATATATTCTTCTTGATTCTTTCGGTAAAGTCACGTAGAAGGGAAATAATAAAATAATAAAATAAAACATAATAAAATTATTCTCACGACGTTTCTGCCACAACGCAAGCAGCCGTCCTCAGGTGAAGAACAGGTCTGTCGGAAAGAAAGCGTCTTTCCCTTTCACGTGACTTGACCGAAAGAACCAAGAAGATGAATCCCTGCAGTCACGAAAGCTTTAACTCGAAACTCTACGTATAGTTTAGTCGGTTAGACAAATCGTTTGGCGACTCGCTCTCCGTCAACAAGGCCGCCTTTTGAAAGTAGTAATCCATCGGCAACGTTTCGGGCAACGGACCTTCAAAGCGCCGTCCGATTAAGCACGGTTGGCTACGTACGGTGCAAAAGAAGTTCTACATACGGTACGTACGTAGCAGAAGGGTCATTGTCTGAAACGTAGCCGATTATCATGTGTTATTATACATGGTAATAATAATAAGATGTAGAAGGGAAATAATAAAATAATAAAAATTAAACAGAATAAAATAAAATAATTCTCACGACGTTTCGGCCACAACGCAAGCAGCCGTCCTCAGGTGAAGAACAGGTATGTCGGAAAGACAGCGTTTGACACTTCTACGTGACTTTACCGAAAGAACCAAGAAGATGAATCCCTGCAGTCACGAAAGCTTTAAATCGAAAAATAATAAGATGGTTAAAATGTGAACCATCTTCCTCCCTTCCTAACCTCACCCACCCCTCCCTCTCCCAATCATCACCATTCCCTTGCCATCCCTTCCCCAACGCTCAAACCCCATCCCTTTCCCCCCCATCAGCCAATGCTGGTGTGCAATTTAGAATTCTTGTAAAGCGCTTTGATAAAAGCGCTGTAAAAATTCGTAGATAAAATGAGGCGAAATATTAGAGTTAGCGGCGGTTCCATGGGACCGGCAAATCTTAACAAAAAAAAAATCATCACCCAAATATTACGAGCAAAAAATTAACCCGTAAAAACAAAGTTTTTCACTAGAAATCCTTTATATGCGTGGCGGCTAGAGTCCTCTCGTCCTCTGGCTTGAGATGGCTGCCACCTATGGGTCAGATGATTGCCTGCCACCATTAAGCAATTGGTAATTAAATCTAAAAAAAATGTACCTAAAAAGTGGAAAATTCTGGAAAACAATTTTCACGGAAATAAATTGTCACGCACAACGAGTCTGTGTGCAAAATGTCAGCTCGATCGGATCACGGGAAGTGGGTTAAACAACGACCGAAAGATTTGCACGGTCGTAAGCGCGCAAGCAAGCAAGTGAACTTAATATAAAGGATTTAACAATCACCCGAAGATTACGAGCAAAAAAAAAACACCCCGTGCCGACTGCTCAATGAGCATCGCCCACACGCCCCCCCACCCCTCAACCTGATAAGTGCTGGTGATGCCCAGACGATAGAAGACTGGCAGGAAGACGTACGCCGTGATGAAGACGTTCACCGACTGGCCCAGGCACATCTGCAGGAACTTGGCACCGTAGCGGTACGCCTCGCCCGGCACGCCGAGCACCTGCACGGCCGACATGAAGCTGGCCGACAGCGACAGCCCCACGGGAAGAGCGCTGAGGTGCCGCCCGCCCATGAAGAAGTCTCCCGTGGTGCGCTGGCCGCCACCGCGCAGCGCGTAGAAGATCCCGATGGACGTCGAGACGAGCAGCATGACCGCGAAGACGCAGTAGTCCCACGGGCTGAAGCCTCGTCCAGCCATCGCCGGGGGCAGCGGGGGCAGCGGAGTCGGCGGAGGAGATTTCGTGCGAGCCTGCACTGACACGATGCTGTGGGTTTCAGCGGAGACGCGGCACACCAACAAAGATTACCCGCCCCCCCGTGTAGACTGAACAGACGGTTTGAGGCAAGTGCTGTTAGCGAGCACCTATTAAGGCCGGATGGGTGGCCAACACCAAGCCCGACCGCCTTTGTCTCATCAGTGGCGATATTTAGACACCGCACCAGGTACTCATTTGAGGCCGAGTCGACCTTGGGGAGGCCCATGACCGGTTCAAATAATCGTCACTGTGATGGCCGGGAGCGGGAATCAAACTCGGGCCGTCGGGTTCGTAGCGCAGCGCGCTCACGGCGCACGAGTAGAGACGCAGGCACCCGGACAAACAACACCTCACACGGGCAGACACACGCACAGGCACTATTATTGACACACATACATGAGTAACACACACACACACGCACTATTATTGTCACACACACACACACAGGAGTGACACACACACAGGAGTGACACACACACAGGAGTGACACACACAGGAGTGACATACACACAGGAGTGACACACACATAGGAGTGACACACACACAGGAGCGACACACACACACAGGAGCGACACACACACACAGGCGCGTCACACACACACAGGCGTGTCACACACACACAGGCGTGTCACACACACACAGGCGTGTCACACACACACAGGCGTGTCACACACACACAGGCGTGTCACACACACACAGGCGTGTCACACACACACAGGCGTGTCACACACACACAGGAGTGTCACACACACACACAGGCGTGTCACACACACACACAGGCGTGTCACACACAGGAGTGACACACACACACACACGCAGGTGTGTTACCTTCCCCAAGGGGCCGGGATGGGTGACCGGTAGAGCGAGGGGGAAGCCGCCCAGGACGCGCGTGATCGTGGCGACTTTTGTCCACTTGTCTCCTCCTCTGGGACACAACGCGGGGCTGCGTGCAACACAACCAGCAGGTCTCTGCTCGACGAAGAGCGAATTCACCGAAGGCGAACGACTTCTCTGGGTGCCACACTGATATTGCTCAAGAGCGCATTCGTGTTGTTAATGATCACGACGATGATGATGATACAGACGGAGGGGCCCAATGTCTCTCCTCCGCTGTGCTCGCTGGGTGTGTCTGCCGATGGCCACGTCGTGAGCGGCAAGAGGACGCACTCAGGTTCTCAATATCCGCCTCTCGAACCCCCTCTAAGAGCCACCGCCCCACACACTCTCACCTCGACCCCCCACCCCACGCCGCTAACCCATCGCCCATCTTCTTTCACAAGCAACACGGCTGTGTGAAGATCACACGCGGGCGAGCTGCTGGCACGCGCAAGTTCCTCGTCCTCCACTTCTCTCTCCGACTCTTCTCATTGAGCAGCCTGGCGAATTATGATCAGACAAACACCGCCACCCCCTCCCCCGACCACCACAACTTGCAAGGGTGGCCGAGTGGCTGGGTGGCAATTTTCACCCAGCAGCGAATTAATCAAGAAGCCGTGCAAGTGTTCACACAATTTCCGGGCACCCCATTCTCTTTTAATGAATGAACACTAAACAGCCTGCTGAAGTATGGTCAAACCGCCCCGTCCCTCCCCTCCAAACCACAACTTGCACGGCCATAATGATGGGTGGGGTGGTGGGAAGAAGAGAGGACATTCATCCAGCAGTGGATCGATGAAGGTCTACGCAATGCATAACCGACGCGGTGGTCGTGCATTGTACGATCGATGGCAGGGGGGGGGGGGGAGAGGCGACGCTTGTCGGCACAGCGCGAGACGCGGGATCCGCCCGTGGCGTTGGCCAAGTGGTGCCCCCTCCTCCACCACCACCTTCATCTGCTACGCGCGCGGGATTAAACAATCGTGAGCGTCCCCAAATGTAGCGCATTGACGCCGGATTGTAGGGCGGTAGCGGCACCAACGGCGCGTCCGTCAATATTAACGGGAATCCCCCACTGATCGCCTTCGTGATTCGCACAGGCTGATTGGTTACACAATGGGCCGCTCATGAAAAGCAATTTGTATAAGTAGCGCGCACGTGCGTCGTGATGAGTCAACGGTAATGATCGGGTTTGTAGCGGTGGCAGTGGCGAGCGCATTGCGATGCGCTATGACTCCGGCGGCTTCTGAGTTCGATTCCCAGCGTCGGCTCATGTATGTGGTGAGCGCCTGGGATGCGAGGATGAAACCAAAAGTCGACATTGAAAGGAGTCCGATGCCGGGCGCAATCGGCGATTCAAAACGATCCCGTGGCGTTCAGTGCCGAATCGGAAGGATCCTCAGACGAATTCCCCATCGATGAGCACGTGCGCGTTCATATTAAAGTCTATCGCCATGCACAGCTTTCAATGTGTGCTAAACCACTTATCTTAAAAGCAGCCTTTGGTGCATTCAAACGTGAAACAAAGCGATAATTGTTTAATTTAAAAACATCTCACGAGTTCAAATAACACGTCGCGTTTAATTACTTTGCTTGTTAACTGTTGGTGAGCGAGCACCAATGAAGGCTAGCACGGCACACGAGGGGGTGGGTGGCCAGCACCACGCCCGGCCGCCTTCGTCTCCCTAGTGGGATTGCTCACACATCACACCAGCTACTCACTTGATGCTGAGTCGATCTAGGCGAGGCCCAGGACCGGTTTAGATAATCATCGCTGGTGTTAATCGTCGATAAGCAATCGAACCCGAGTCGCCAGGTTTCGTAGCGCAGGTGCGCTAACCGCTACACCACCGCTCATTCAACCATTAGCCCCGCCTACCACTCGTAGGCTCCGCCTACTGCCCAAGTAGCCCCGCCCACTGCTCAGGTAGCCTCTGCTCAGGTAAGTTTCCAGGAGGGTACCTTGATATGGGGGCCGGTCGGATGCATTTCGAACCGTGGAACGACTCGTCGTGATTGTCACTAAGCCGCTGGCTTTAGTGACACCCGAAGGGGAAATGGAAGGGCAGATTAGAGTCAGCATCGGAGTGTTGTAGTTATACCGGAAGAATCCGATGAGCTGTAAAGCTGTTTGTTTAACAGATGTCCAGTGTTTTTACAGATGTCCTGTAAGTTAAAGAGAATGGAAACGCTCTGAGCTCACTCATGCATACAGACGCGCACACATTTTACTCATGCTAACGATATTATAATTGTAACGTTTTTATTGAAATCATTTAACACGACGGAGGTTTGCTAACACGGGTCCGCTTTACGTCTTCACAAGCACAATACATTTCGACTTAAGACTTTCGTGACTGCAGGAATTGGTTCTTTCGGTAAAGTCACGTTGATAGAAAAAAAGAAAAATATTTTTTTTTACAAATAAATGAAACTAAAGGCAAAAACACACGACGTTTGTGTTTTTATTTAAATTTATTTTATTTTTTATTTTCTATCTACGTAACTTTTCCGAAAGAACCAAGTGTTTATTGTTTGTTGCGTTTGAAGTGGGTGAGCATCGTATTCTTAGGTTTTTTCGGTAAAGTCACGTAGGTAAAAAAATAAAATTAATAAAAGTAAAATAAAAATCACTTGATACAGCTATCGTGCTGTGACGGTTCCACCTGAAGACGGAAGCTTGTGTTGCCTCCGAAACGTCGTGATTTTTATTTTATTTTAATTTTACTTTTATTACTTTTATTTTTTTACCCACGTGACTTTACCGAAAAAAACCTAAGAATATGAATCCTTGCAGCCACGAAAGCTTCAAATCTAGAATGGGTGAGCATCGGTTAGCGCAGTGCTCCGCGGGCGAACCCGACGACCTCAGAGTCGAACCCTTCCCAGGCGACAATTAAATTTCTCACGTTCAGGTTACTCGAGCCGCACTCTCGACACCCACCCTGGAAATGTCGCACTCAACGAGGACAGACAGTCCATTTCCACCGCTGCACGCTCGAGCAGCAGGAGCAGCAGCAGCAAATGTGACCCCGGACAGACCTGTGCCATACATCCTCCTGTGTACGGTATCATCTATAGACATCATCATCAGCATCATCAGCATCAACAGGCATGGTCTGTTCACTGCTAGTCGAAGGTTCTTCTCAAGCCGTCGCAGGCCGTCAGGAGCTTGCGATACCACGGCCCATCTCGCTCATACTCGTGAGCTCAGAATCTTGATTTTTAAACGGGAGGAATCCGATGAGTTATACAGCTCTTTTTCACAGATGTCCGGAGCTGATCCAATCGTTCCATCTCCACGAGGGTTGTCCACCCAGGCGTCTTATCTCTGCAATTGCATTACAAGTCTGGCTCATCGGCCATCAATGCATTCTAGCCACGATGTACTCGTCTACAGAAAAAAAACCAAGATCGAATCATATTTAACATACGTTTTCACTGAATTCGATATATTCCAGCTCTACGGACTAAATACTCTTATATAAGCGCACACCTTTATCTGTGATGAACGCTGCACTTTCCGTCGTTTTCATGCAGGGGGCGCTGCAAACCTACGCGGCCCCTGCATGAACGACGGAGGCGCAGGGACAGACGTTCGATTACGTTGGGATCGATCTGCAGACGGCGGTCTTCTCGCACGGCCAGCAGCTCCGTGTCGCCTTATCTCGATCCCGCAAGTCCCAAACAGGTGAAAGTTCCGCATCTAACCGAACCCCCAGCAAGGCCATCGACTTAACGACGAGAGAAAATTCACGCGAAATGTCCTTGTCAATGAAGTCTTCCAGATGTAAAATGATATAAGCCTTAAATGAAGAAATACAATTATATAATTCAAACATAATATAATTCAAAGATGTTTCATTTGAAAACTTCAAAACGGAGCATCGGGTGCTTGCGTGAAGGCGTCGTTCGTGTGCAACTTTTTTCGTGACTTTCCTGGCCGAAGGCCGTCAATGGTTGTGAGGGGCGCCACTGGTGACCTCCGAACAACCTCTAGTGTGCTATAATGCTATGATGTGTTGTTCAATGCTGTGGACGGATAATTATAGAGCGAGGCACGGGAGAAGATGCACGCAACATCGACTGTGAAGGGGCCTCAGAAGTGGTTCTGCAATGTCATCTTCTGCAGGCCACTCTCAAACCTGGGGGGGGGAGGGGGGTGACTATGCGATGGTAATATTTATTTATGGTAATATTTATTCGACTCGTGGCATGCCACCGTGGTAGTTGAGGATAATTAGCAAATAATTGAGTAAAAAAAAATCCGAGTTGGAAGGAAATGGGGGTGGGGTGGATGGGGTGGGTGAGGGTGAGACGGTGAGTGAGAGTGGGTGAGGGTGGGTGAGGGTGAGAGAGGGTGGGGGGTGGGGTGGGTGAGGGAGGGTGGGTGGGTGAGGGTGGGTAAGGGTGGGTGAGGGTGGGTGAGGGTGGGTAAGGGTGGGTGAGGGTGAGAGTGGGTGGGGGGTGGGATGGGTGCAGGTGGGTGGGGGTGGGTGAGGGTGGGTGAGTGGGGCTGGGTGAGGGTGGGTGAGGGTGAGTGAGGGTGGATGGGGTGAGTAGGGGTGGGTGGGGAGTGGGATGGGTGAGGGTGGGTGGGGGTGGGTGAAGGTGGGTCAGGGTGGATTGGGTGGGTGAGGGTGGGTGGGGTGAGTAGGGGTGGGTGGGGAGTGGGATGGGTGAGGGTGGGTGGGGGTGGGTGGGGGTGGGTGAAGGTGGGTCAGGGTGGATTGGGTGGGTGAGGGTGGGTGGGGTGGGTGAGGGTTGGTGGGTGAGGGTGGGTGGGGGGTGAGGTGGGTGGGGGTGAGTAAGGGTGGATGGGGTGAGTGGGGTGGCTGGGGTGAGTGGAGGTGAGTGGGGAGTGGGATGGGTGAGGGTGGGTGGGGTGGGTGGGGTGGGTGAAGGTGGGTGAGGGTGGGTGGGTGAGGGTGGATGGGGTGGGTAGGGGTGGGTGGGGGGTGGGGTGGGTGAGGGTGGGTGGGGGGTGGGGTGAGTGAGTGAGTGAGGGTGGATGGATGGGGTGAGTGGGGGTGGGTGGGGAGTGGGGAGGCCTTTGTTTGGAGGTCGTTAATGAGAGTGCGATAGGAGGTAAAGACGACGGGGGAGGAGGAGGAGGAGGGAGGGCAGCGCACGGGGGCTTCACGGAGCGCGTGAATCTGCAATGCATCTGCGGGCGGAGATTCTCCGTGACACGGCGCGCTGTGATCTGAGTGTGAATAATGCCCTTGTGCAAATCGCGAGCCGCGCTCATCGCAACGATGT